CGATTACGCACGAGTATCGAAATCTACCAAAAAGAAATCGTTTTTTTTTCTCGATATTCTCTCATCACAGTTGTGATTACACTAGTTATAGTTGACACGAATGTGACCCCCCCCCACCCTAAAAAAATCACCCCCCCCCCCCCCAGGGTTGTGTGTGTAGTGGCGGTGATCTTGTCACTAGAGGGAGGCCACGACGGGGACGGAGAAGAAAAATTTTTATGCCACTACTGGTGGCAGCTAATAGAGACTTCAAAGTCATTTTTCCCCGCTTGTAAATGAAAAGGTTAAGCAGCGCCATCTGTGGGGGATCGCTCCCCCGACTCCTTCCAGCGGTGCCATTATCCTCCGTTGGAGTCACGTGTGTTTTTATTTATAGATTTTCAAAGGGAGTTAATTCAAACTTGTCAACTTTTTTTTTTCCCGGGTAAATCGAGGCTAAGAAGTTGAGAACACGAAAGAAATGTATTTTTGTTTCTGTTGACAAACCCAAAAATAACTTAGTGATCAGTATTCATTAGTTCTGTTAAGCTTACTCAATCCCTCATATTAATTAAAAGAAATATAGCTTACGTGTAAATTTAAAAAATGCAATTTTACAGTTTCTAATTATCAGTTTACAAGATGTGCTTCACTACAAATGTGCTTTGGTTGGTTTTGTTATTAAAATGTTTGTACACAGAAGTATTTCATTAAAAATTAGGTTACGGAATAATTAGAATTATATTTATAATTAACCTGGATTTTATCCGTTCAATGGATCGTGGAGTAGACTACATCTGACGTCACTACTAGCATCAACGTCATCAGGCAATCTGTAGGAAAATCAGCCCTACAGATATTCTTGCTCAGACTTTGCCAGATCTGTCTGTCTTCATTCTTGTAAAAGGGGAGATAATATCATTTGTGTAAAGGGCGATCACCCAACCTTCAGTCATGTTTGTATCGAATATGTGGGCCTACCCCTTTGAGGATGGTTTTGCATAGTAAGTTTTATTTTCATTTATTGGACCTAATTTTTTAAGTCGTATTATTTAAATAATTAATTGTTTTAAATAATGAAAAATTTTACGACAAGATTTACCAAGTAACATAATCACCAACTGCCTTTCACATAATCTACCATTTGAATTAAAAAATACTACACTTTATCAATATTACAGGCATTAATACCATCAAATTCGTTATCTGTTAAAAACATGATAAGCTTAATTTATTAAAAAAAAAAGAATTAAAAAAAAACCATGGCACCCACAACACATAATTGCTTCTGCTAATTAGAACATTTAATTTACCAAAATGACAACCATTACATTCAGAAGATTGTGTTACCAGGAAAACTACTATAAAATGTCCCCACTTCCCTTACCTCAACATTAAATTATACAAAATAAAAGTAATGTCACATTTAAGGCAAATAAAAACAGTTTAAGGAAACTGTTAGATATAACTACAAACTGACCTGAACTTTACCACACACAAACATCAACAACCAACTGACATAAACATCATCAGCTGACTGAACTAAACATCATCAACCAACTGACCTAAACATCATCAACTGACCAAAAACTACAAACCTACTCCCACCCCCGCAGCACTACCCCCCCCCCACCCCAACAGCAAATTTCCTGCGCTGACTCCGACCGGGCGACTAACTGTGCCTGGCGCTTCCGCCCCCCACGCCCTCCGCGCCCCGCGCCACGGCCGTGCGATCGATGCCAGACCCTGATGAATGGCGTCCCCTGATTCTCCGTCCCCACCCTGACGGGGGTAATCAATCGTGTCCCCTCTCGAGCGCTACTCGTAACCAATTGTGTCCTGCGATGTCCTGGCTCTCTAGGACAATACGTGCTGGACTCATAATTTCTATATTCTTTTTTTAACACTTTCTTTATTCATGAGTTCTGGTCCGTGATTTTGGAGTTATCTGTTCGTTAAATAAATACATAAGCTCAGGGTGTCATTGGTTTTTTAAATAAATACATAAGCTCAGGATGTCATTGGATTTTGAGTTATCTGTTAGTTGAATAATACATAAATCGGGACCTCAATGGATTTTGAGTTATCTGTTCCTTAAATAAATACATAAGCTCATGTCCTTATAGATCTAACATTTAAGGCACAAAAAGCTTCATTATAAATTATATATTACTAAAAAAATAAAATCTCATTAATTTATTGTTCTTACAATTTTTTGCTTTTAATAAATATTTCATTCTTTTAGTCTGTAATGTTTTAGTTTGTATTATGTTTTGTAATTTTCCTTGAAAATACATACAATAATTAAATAGTATTTGTTATAATGGCGCAAGTTAAGGATGTATCACACTAACTGTAAATATCAAATGAACGGTCATCGTGGACTTGAATGTGTGATTAGTCACTAGGTGGTCATGGTACCCAATCTGTGACAATATACTTGTCACTAGGTGGTCATGGTACCCAATCTGTGACTAGTCACATACTTGTCACTTGGTCGTCATGGTTACCAATCTGTGACAATATACTTGTCACCTGAAACACTTTCAAATATTTTTATGAGTTGTCTCCCTTTCAATCAACACTGAAAAATGATTGAATAAAAAGACAGTGATGAAGATATTGATGGTGGTGTAGTGGATGTGTGGTGTAGTGGATGTGTGGTGTAGTGGATGTGTGGTGTAGTGGATGTGTGGTGGCAGTGGATGTGTGGAGGCAGTGTTTTAGTACAATGAGTTAGGCTTGGATAAAAGGTTAAATTTTGTTGATGGTTGCTCGGTGTGGTTCAATTCAATTTATTAAAGGCACGATGTGGCTAAGGCTAACCACACCGTGTGGCTAAGGTTAACCACACCGTGTGGCTAAGGTTAACCACACCGTGTGGCTAAGGTTAACCACACGGGGTGGCTAAGGTTAACCACATGGTGTGGCTAAGGTTAACCACACGGTGTGGCTAAGGTTAACCACACGGTGTGGTTAAGGTTAACCACACGGTGTGGCTAAGGTTAACCACACGATGTGGCTACGGCTAACCACACTGTGTGGCTAAAGTTAACCACACGGTGTGGTTAAGTTAACCACACGGTGTGGTTAAGTTAACAGTATGATGAAGTACTGTGGTACTACCCGTGAGACCACCACATCAAATGTAATCTCGCACGCCGACCTGGTAATGAATTACACAGACCGCCACGTTAAACAAATACAGGCCCGTGGGTGGGGCGGGGCTGGGGTGGGAACAACACTAGGACGCTGTGATCACTCGGGGTGTTGTGTGTGAGCGAAACATGTGTGTGGGAGCATGTGTGTGAGAACATGTGTGAGCGAAAGTGTGTGAGCGAAAGTGTGTGCTCAACTGCAGAAGGATGAAAGGGAGCGAAGCGTGGATATAACGTTACACATGGAGGTAGTGAAAGTACGAGCTAAAGACGCGAGGTTGTTTCCCTTTTGCCGAGACACTGGGTCTAATGAGTTACCTGTCCCTAGCGGTCGGCTTGTGTGTGCTCGTGTGAGCAGACTCGGGTGGTTTCGATTACTTGGGTAGCTGCGATTACTGGAGTCGTACTCGAGCGTGCGTTTTTTTTTTTATTAGTCTGCTTCATACATGAATGAAAGAAACACTGTAATCAAGGTCTAATTAATCATGCTAAAACACAGATTCATTAAACATTGACGATATGAATTAATGGAACAGTGAGAGTGTGGATAATTGGGCACGACATTGTTCTGATGTGTTTATGTGTAACGGTAGATTTAAATCTCACAAAAATTAATTTTAAATGTTCGAGTATACACATGCTGTACCCTGGTACAATGTTGTGCAGGCTGTACCGTAGTATAATGCTACATACAGGCTGTACCCTGGTACAATATTGTGCAGGATGTACCCTGGTACAATGTTGCACAGGCTGTACCCTGGTACAATACTGTACAGGCTGTATCTGGTACAATACTGTGCACAGACTATACCCTGGTACAATGCTACATACACGCTGTGTACAATGTTGTACCGACTGTACCCTGGTATAAATCTCTACACCCTGGTATAATGCTACACATAGGCTGTATCCTGGTATAATGCTGTACACAACTCTAGTATGGTAAAGGTCCCTGCCACCCTTATGGTCTGTGTTCGAATCTCACCTGTAACTGACCCGTCCCAGTTGTGTCATACCTGACTGGTGCCAGACCAGCAGTCTAAAACCTATCACGCTATTGTCAGACCAGCAGTCTAAAACCAGACTGTTGATGTAGGCTAAACCTGTCACGGTATTGAGGTCAAGGGCAGATTGTTATTTTAAACAAACCGCGGTCAAATCGTGTGCAATGAATTTTTTTTGTTTCGCTATTTTTAGCGGTAGGTTGGCTAAGGAATTCATCTTTTTAAAATCACCATGGCATTTTTCTATGATATAAAACTTCGATTTTATTGAATTATATTTTGTATAGTTTTAGTTTTTTACTTTAAAAAATCAATTTTAACAAAAAAAATAAAAAGAACTATTATTTATTTTTATTTTTTTGTTTGGCTTCGATAGCCACATTTAAGAAACCCTTGGGGGTCCCTCAACACAAAATATAAAATAAGGGTCTGCTTGCATGCACCACTGGGGGCCATTAACACAGAATAGATGCCTCACAGACTACTTAGTTTCAATTGTTGAGCAGATTTTACAGTCAGTATGTAACACGTCAGTCCCCCTCACCTGGTCAAACTCACCCCTTACACCCTCCTCACACCCACCCCACCTCCCCCCCACCTGGTCAAACTCACCCCTCACACCCACCTCACCCCTCACACCCACCTCACACCCACCCCACATCCCCACCACCGCCTTACAACGTATCTAATGTTTATACGATTCGCCTAGCCGAAAATCGATACCCCCGCCCAGGTATCGTCCAGCCGTCGATACCTGAGGTATCGCCCGAGCGACTGCCCGTCCAGCCCTCTGTTTACATACGGAGCCAGGCCAAGATTGAATAAATTTATCGCGTGGCGTGGCGTGTCCATCTGCTCACTGCCTGCCTGCCTGCCTGCCTGTCGGCCCAGTGTGAAGAGCTCACTCGATGGATAAACTTGCCTGGATTCTATCCACTCGCTCGCCCAGCAGTGATACGTGTTCTCTCAGTGATACTTGTTGTGATATTTCTTTTCATGGATAATTTACGCGACTGACTTGATCCTGTGGCAACAACAACAACACAGTCACGTGGTACTCATTAAACTGTAGCTTGTATTGCGATCGATGAATGACCAAGTGATAGCGGCCTCGCTCAATCTGTGCACGTGTGGTGATGAGGGTGGGGGAGGGGGGGGGGGGGGTGTTCGCTCGTGAGTTAGATCATATTGACACGAATGTGACGGCCGTGTTAAATTCTAATCGCATTACACGGCTCGTCTTACTCTTGGCCACGTGTAGCCTCTGCTCCTAGATCACGTGATACGCTAACTTTCTTCCTCCACATTTCTTCTCTCTATCTACACCCGGCTGGTACTTGCATCTGTTAGAAGCATGTTTGGTTCTATTTCAGTTCTAGATATCTACATACTTAACGGTTTATTTACAAATGCATGTGTGTTTATTCTATATAAACATATTATAGGCCCATATATATATATATATATATATATATATATATATATATATATATATATATATATATATATATATATATATATATATATATATATATAGTATATGTATGCGTGTTGTTTTGATCGATCTCTTGTTTTAATGTCAAACACGTTACACCCAGAGTTGAAATGTTTAGATGTAGTGTTTACGTAAGTTTAAATAACTTACAATATAATCTGTGTACGTTAAATTCATGGGTCATTAACGGCGGCTGTCGACCATTTGGGACTTTTTAAATTAATTAATAAAGCCCATCTAATTAAAGGAAAACTTTGCTAGCAGATAAATCAGCGGACGGAAAATTGATTTGTTTGCTAAAGCGTATAGTTCTTAAACAAATTATCTGTGAAATACGTGTTTACTTATTTAAAAACTGTCACCCCTTCCCCCACCCCCACCCTTACAACAAATTTCTGACCCCTGGGTAAAGGCATAAATTATTTGCTATAATCTGCATCTGATGAATGCCACCAACACCTGAATCCACCACCTCCACCAACACCTGAATCCACCACCTCCACCAACACCTGAATCCATCACCTCCACCAACAATTGTACCACACCTTATGAATGCCACCACCTCCACCACACCTTATGAATGCCACCCAACGTTTAAAAAACCAGAATCTGCTCCCCCGTATATTTATAAACCTGTTGTGTGTGGGGGGGGGGGAGGGGGGGGATCTCGTGAGCCGTCTGCTGTCTGTGGGGGGGGGGGGATCTCGTGAGCCGTCTGCTGTCTGTGCTCGTCCTCTGGTCATCAGATGATCCGGCGCCCGCCTGGAGTCGCCGATAACCCCCACCCCACCCCCAAACAAACCTCACCCCTCCCTTGTACTAGCAGACAGGCACCAAACGCTGGGGGAGGGGGGATAAGCATGAAACAATGCTCTGCTTTATCCTGGAGATGTAAGCCATGTTCTAGGTAGCGAGGGGGTAGGGGGGGGGGGGCGCGTTTCACCGAATGTTTAAGTGTAGTGTCTGCATTAATGGGGTGGGGGGGGGGTAATGTTAGGGTTTTTTTCCCGCACAAAAAAACATTTTTGGGGATTATAAATTAAACGAATAGGAAAAGTGAATAGAGCTTAGATTGCTTTATAAAGGTAGAAATTGAGCTTATATTATACTACTGTATAAAACTGTAAATTGAGCTTATATTGTATTACTGTATAAAACTGTAAATTGAGCTTAGACTTTATTACTGTATAAAACTATAAATTTAGCTTAGATTGTATTACTTTACAAAAGCCTTACACAAAGACGAACACATATCATGACCAGCCTTAAGCTAACCTTCTACACACACGTACATTCAAGTATTCTTACAATTGTAGTTGACTCTTAGAATCCGATTCTTACGTCACGGCGGTCTTCGAGGTGCAAAACTGACCCAGACCCAGCACACCTTTGACCCAATACCCAGCCGACCTTTGACCTCTACCCTCCCGGCTTAGATCTAACACTTTGAATGTTACCCTATTGGAGGAATAAAATTTTATATTTTGTAGACAGCACTTGACCGAAGTGGCTGCTCAGTTTACTGTATGTGGTTGATGCGGCGGTAAACTTTAAAGGCATCGTTCGCCTCGTAAAAATCGGGGTTCCACTCCAGTTAATGATGAATGCCCTCTGAGTGTTAACTAGCTAACATCTACTTTACTTTAGGACATTAGGAGAAGGGTTTAGACCATTTTAGACAGTATCCTATCAAATTTGTTACAGAATTATGACATTTCTAGCCAATATTCCATTAAATTTGTTACAGAATTATGTCATTTCTAGCCAATATTCCATTAAATTTGTTCCAGAATTATGACATTTCTAGCCAATATTCCATCAAATTTGTTATAGAATTATGACATTTCTAGCCAAATTTCCATAAAATTTGTTATAGAATTATGACATTTTTAGCCAAATTTCCATCAAACTTGTTACAGAATTATGACATTTCTAGCTAATATTCCATCAAATTTGTTACAGAATTATGACATTTCTAGCCAATATTCCATTAAATTTGTTACAGAATTATGACATTTCTAGCCAATATTCCATCAAATTTGTTATAGAATTATGACATTTCTAGCCAAATTTCCATAAAATTTGTTATAGAATTATGACATTTCTAACCAAATTTCCATCAAACTTGTTACAGAATTATGACATTTCTAGCTAATATTCCATCAAATTTGTTACAGAATTATGACATTTCTAGCCAATATTCCATCAAATTTGTTATAGAATTATGACATTTCTAGCCAATAGTCCATCAAATTTGGTAAAGAATTATGACATTTCTAGCCAATATTCCATCAAATTTGTTATAGAATTATGACATTTCTAGCCAATATTCCATCAAATTTGTTATAGAATTATGACATTTCTAGCCAATAGTCCATCAAATTTTTTAAAGAATTATGACATTTGTAGCTAATATTCCATCAAATTTGTTACAAAATTATGACATTTCTAGCCAATATCCCATCAAATTTGTTACAGAATTATGACATTTCTAGGTAATATCCCAATTCTCATCTGTTTATTTCACGAGGCTAAACCCTGCTTATTGTTAAAAGTTAAGACTTAATTATTATTGTCTTTTATTTATGTGTTCGCTTAATAATTTAGAAAATTCCAGAGTGTTTTAAGAATGATATTTTAGATAAAAGAGCGAAAATTCTTATTCCTGGAATATTATTACCCGACTTTTATTGACTGTTACCCGACTATTAACCGAATGTTACCCTAATGTTACCCGACTCTTAAAAGCTGTAAACCTATGACTCTTCTCAAACTACTTTAAGAAAAACAACAGCCATAAGACCCAGGGGCGCAGACCGACTGGGGGGAGGGGGTTACATATGACCCCATGTTCCAGAACTCACTCTCTCGAGTACGCCTGCTGTTTCCCCCAATTCACTGCTCACTCACAGAGTTTTATTACATGTGCTTGAGTGTAAAAATGTGAGCGTAAAAAGTAATGTTTTAAAAATACTTTTTACTTCACAATTCCTATGAAATAAAACTATAAGTAGGTCTAGTTTTCGCTGTTCAAATGTTTGGTGTAAAAGGTAATATATTTGAAAAATGTTGTATAAAAGGTGGTATATTTTAAATATGATGTATAAAAGGTGGTATATTTGAAATGTGATTTGAATATTTGAAATGTGGATATTTGAAAAATGTTGTATAAAATTTGGTATATTTGAAATGCCCAGAGTGAGGTGGAATATTTAAAAGTTAAAATGAATTCCTAGTTGCTCTCAGTGTGTAGAACGTGTGTTGGCTAGGGAGAAATAATAAGATACATATATCACAAACAATCTTTGAACATGAGCGGCTAAATGGTGTCCAATGTTTTAAATTGAAAGGTTATCCGTTTTGATAGCGGGCATTGTTTTACGTAAACTTAAAACGCAATGATTGCAGAATCTAACATTGATCCCGTTTTTAATTTCAAAACTGTTAAGATAAAGTTTTTTTTTCAACTTTTATTATTATTTGTTATTGGTAATCTTAAATGTATTGATGAAAAATGTTGAAAATAAATTTAAAATGCTCCACCGACTAGGCACTGATCCACTGACTTGCAAATCATCCATCGACAGACTTATCACTACTCCAACCCCCCCCCCCACCCCACCCCCCCCACCCCACCCCCCCCCCACCCCACCACGGAGCCAGAACCAACAGACGACAAAAAAAAACTTTTCGCAATTTGGTCAATTAGTCTATAATCGAATACATCCCTAGTTCCAAAGTTCGATTACCAGGACCCGGCAGAATGAAAAAAAATAAAAGTATAACAGAATCGATACCGTTCTACGTGAAGCATTCCCATCATCCTAGGATCTTAATAAAGCGGAAAAAATCGATACCGTGTTTTGAAATAGGTATTCGACGTCATTATTACCGGCACTAAAATATAAATGAAGTCAAAATTGAGAGCTTTTCCATCCTCGCGATTTTGGTTTCTCTTGTCGGATTTAAAACATGATCGTGTAGAGTGGAGGGGGGAGGGGTGGGGTGGAGTGGAGGGGTGAGTGGGGAGTTGGGTGGAGGGTTGTTTGGGGTGAGGGGCGGTGTGTTGTTTTACTGTGGTCAGAGTGTGGCTGTTGTAGACTTTTAAGTCTGTGGGTGATGGTGTAGTTTTGATGGTGGTTTTATTTTATTGTCGCGGTTAGGAAATAGTTTATGTCACTGTGTGGAGGAGGGGGAGGGGAGGGGGAGGAGGGGATTATAACTGTGTTAGTGGTGGGTGGCATTTTCACTGAAATTAAAGAATGTTGAGTTTACCCTAATTTATAATGTGTTTTGTGTTTGGTAACTTGTGGTTAGTTGTGGTTAGGTCGTGGTTGTTCCTGTGTGTGTTTAGTTGTGGTTGTTATCTTATGGTTGTCAACATGTGGTTGTCAACTTGTGGTTGTCAGCTTGTGGTTGTCAACATGTGGTTGTCAACTTGTGGTTGTCAACTTGTGGTTGTCAGCTTGTGGTTGTCAACTTGTGGTTGTCAACGTGTGGTTGTCAACATGTGGTTGTCAACTTGTGGTTGCGACTGGCAACTTCAGTACCAGTGGCACTTTAGGACGGTCATGTGGTTGTCAACTTGTGGTTGTCAACGTGTGGTTGTCAACATGTGGTTGTCAACTTGTGGTTGCGACTGGCTACTTCAGTACTAGTGGCACTTTAGGACGGTCGATAAAACCTTAACGCGCGCGTGTCATTTGAAATGTCACGTGTCTCTGGTTTCTGCCAGATTCCAATCATATGACACATGTCTGCCACCATCCCCCCTCCCCATCTCCCATTTCCATCCCCCTCTTCCCAGTTCCCACGCCAACCCAGTGCATCAACACTGAAAAAGTTAATTTCATCGCTTCTGTCTCAACTAGATTGAATCCAACAACAATACGTCTTTAACTTACACTCACACTCACACTCACACTCACACTCACACTCACACTCACACTCACACTCACACTCACACTCACACTCACACTCACACTCACACTCACACTCACTTACACTTACACTTACACTTACACTTACACTTACACTTACACTTACACTTACACTTACACTTACACTTACACTTACACTTACACTTACACTTACACTTACACTTACACTTACACTTACACTTACACTTACACTCACACTCACACTTACACTTACACTCACACTTACACTCACACTCACACTCACACTCACACTCACACTCACACTCACACTTACACTCACACTCACACTCACACTTACACTCACACTCACACTCACACTCACACTTACACTCACTTACACTTACACTTACACTTACACTTACACTTACACTTACACTTACACTTACACTTACACTTACACTTACACTTACACTTACACTTACACTTACACTTACACTTACACTTACACTTACACTTACACTTACACTTACACTTACACTTACACTTACACTTACACTTACACTTACACTTACACTTACACTTACACTTACACTTACACTTACACTTACACTTACACTTACACTTACACTTACACTTACACTTACACTTACACTTACACTTACACTTACACTTACACTTACACTTACACTTACACTTACACTTACACTTACACTTACACTTACACTTACACTTACACTTACACTTACACTTACACTTACACTTACACTTACACTTACACTTACACTTACACTTACACTTACACTTACACTTACACTTACACTTACACTCACACTTACACTTACACTCACACTCACACTCACACTCACACTTACACTTACACTTACACTTACACTCACACTCACACTCACACTTACACTTACACTTACACTTACACTTACACTTACCTCTATTGTTCTAACCCACCTGTACCAATCACATCAAGATATTTAATACAATGTGGCGAATCAGGCACGTGACCGCTACAGGACCAATCGATACATTCATTTCTCCCCCACCCTCTCGTCATCCCTACCCTCCATAGCTGACGACGTCCCGATATTTCTGCTAGCCGTCCAGCCGCACGGCTCTGCCGGTTGTCGTAGCCGGTAATAGCCGGGTAATTCACCGCACTTGCCGGATATTGAAAATGGCGTCTGTGGTCGGGGGAATATCTGTGTGATCACACACCGACCTGTGAATGATCCGTTCGGTTGTGTGATCACACACCGACCTGTGAATGATCCGTTCGGTTGTGTGATCACACACCGACCTGTGAATGATCCGTTCGGTTGTGTGATCACACACCGACCTGTGAATGATCCGTTCGGTTGTGTGATCACACACCGACCTGTGAATGATCCGTTCGGTTTGATTGGTGTGTTTCTTTGATCACGGTGAGGTGTGTAAGTGTGACACAATTAGGTGACGACGCGAGGCGGTTGTAGTGTGTAGGCCCGGGGTCGTACACGGTAGAGGTGTAGGTGTGTTGTGTGTTATAGTTATAGGTGTGTGTATGTTATCGCGTGGTGTGTGTAAATTCTTGTGTGTGATTCAGGGAGTGTGTTAGAGGTGTGTGTGTTAAGTTGTGTTGTGTAATTTCCTGCGTCTGATATGTTGTGTTTTGTGTGATATGTTGTGTTTTGTGTGATATGTTGTGTTTTGTGTGATATGTTATGTTGTGTGTGATGATTGTATACTTTATGATGTGTTTTGTGTGTTATGTTGTGTTTTGTGTGATATGTTGTTTTGTTTGATATGTTATGTTTTGTGTGATATGTTATGCTTTGTGTGATGTGTTATGTTTTGTGTGGTATGTTATGTTTTGTGTAATATGTTATGTTGTGTGTGTGATGATTGTATACTTTATGATGTGTTTTGTGTCACATAAAATGTGTCGTATGTGTGTGATAGAACGTGTCTTTCTACAGTGGTATGGTGTGTGTAGCATGGTGTGTCACATGGTGTGTAGCATGGTTTGTCACATGGTGTGTCACATGGTGTGTCACATGGTGTGTCACATGGTGTGTCACATGGTGTGTCACATGGTGTGTCACATGGTGTGCAGCATGGTCTGTATGAATGACACGGATAAGCTGACAGAAAGAGTTGTTACAATGTTGATGAAGCCAACCTTCTGTTGTGGGTTCAAATCCTAGCTACACTAAGCTTCCCCTTGTGTATAAGTTGTCGATAAGATAAACCACTCTAAATATAGTAACACCCTGGCTGTATTGATCAAGTATCGATATCATGCTTTTGTTTATTGTTTCAATTAAAGAAATCATGAACCGGCTCACCCATCGATCTATCGATTGATTGTTTATGATTTAATTGAAAGGGATGTGTGTTGGCGGCTGGGGGGAAGGGGGTTATTAAAGGTTTTTTATGTGGACGGTTAGTGGCTTAGTCGAGTTTTGGACGGCCAGGGCTTTAAAATAATGGACGGTTGTTGTTAGCTTAGGACGGTAGCTAGGAATTCAAATCGCGTGAAATATCTGACCGTCGACACTACTTCTCCGTTCCTTTCTTGGTCAGATCTTGCCGGAAGTAACATTTTAAAACGGTGACCACAAGGTGACGTCAGGGTGACCACAGGGTGACGTCAGAAAAAAAACATGAACTTGATTTGTTCCAGTTGAACTCCTCTGGACATAAACAATTGTGGAATTAGCTGCTCAAAGTGTTTTTTACTCTGTGATACTATCCGACTGCCAAATTCTCGCATGTGGTGCTTCCTCAGTGCTATATTTAGATATTGAAGTACCCGTATGTGGAGTTTCCTCTGTGCTATATTTAGATATTGAGGTGCCCTTATGTGGTGTTTCCTCTGTGCTATATTTAGACATTGAAGTGCCCGTATGCGGTGTTTCCTCTGTGCTATATTTAGACATTGAAGTGCCCGTATGCGGTGTTTCCTCTGTGCTATATTTAGACATTGAAGTGCCCGTATGTGGAGTTTCCCACAAAAAATGAGGTTCTCCCATGAAAACCTTATTTACTTCCCGCCAAGCCATAGGTAAGTTTAGGGCTTAAATCATTGGTGACGTCAGACAATCTAAAACTGGTGTGACGTCAGACGGTCAACGAATGTATGTGACATAGACATTCTGTGTCACTAACGTCTCGTTAATTTATCTAATACATAAGCTCAAATGGACTATGCGACTGTATGTATATTTGTGGAAAACATGCATATATTTTAAAAAATTCGACTTGATCATTCTTGTACAAAATTATAAATTGAACATTTCCAAAAAACTCAATATTTATCGTATTCAATCTACAATCTCATTTTACAATGTACTGTTTGTTTTGATGTTGTAAAAAACAATTATCTAATTAGCGTGGTTTGATAAAGTGCAATGCGGTAGGTATAACACAGGTATTTTAAATACGACCGTTTATATATTTTAAAAACAAAATATAGTGTTTATTAATAATTATTTTTGATCAATTACAGTTTAGAAGCCGTTGTTCTTTAATGTTTAAGTTTATGTTTCCAATTGCGTTATTGTTTTTGCGTTTATGTTTGTGTTTGCGCTTGCGTTTCGTTTGTGTTTACGTTTGTGTTTGCGTTTGCTTTTGTGTTTGCGTTTGTGTTTATGTGTTTGTTTGCGTTTGTGTCTGTGATTGTTTGAGTTTGTGTTGCGTTGTGTTGCGTTTGTGTTTTGGTTTTGGTAGTGGTTGGTTCTGGTTAGGGTTAAGTTTAGAATTAGTGTTAGGCTTAGGGTTATTTTTTCTCAAACTTCCATATTAGCACATAGAAATTTAATTGGAAAAGTAAAATATTTCCTAAACCTAGGCAATGCCAGGTATATACTACTTAATAAACACACAAGTCACGGTCCTTTACAGATAGTTTTTTCACAGAGGCCAGTGCAGTGCCTTGCCAGGACGGCTAGTAGTATATGCAGAAAACAATACGAATCAAATATACTACTTACCCTCATTTAACTACCCTACCCCCCCCCCCCCAATACCAACTAAATGACTGTCACTAGCTGTCATCTGACCAACTAAATGACTGTCATTAGCTGTCATCTGACCAACTAAATGACTGTCATTAGCTGTCATCTGACCAACTAAATGACTGTCATTAGCTGTCATCTGACCAACTAAATGACTGTCATTAGCTGTCATCTGACCAACTAAATGACTGTCATTAGCTGTCATCTGACCAACTAAATGACTGTCATTAGCTGTCATCTGACCAACTAAATGACTGTCATTAGCTGTCATCTGACCAACTAAATGACTGTCATTAGCTGTCATCTGACCAACTAAATGACTGTCATTAGCTGTCATCTGACCAACTAAATGACTGTCATTAGCTGTCATTTGACCAACTAAATAACTGTCACTAGCTGTCATCTGACCAACTAAATGGCTGTCATCAGCTGTCATTTGACCAACATCAGACAGCTAGTGGTATGACCTTGCCCTCTGTTATCTATTTTTAAACATGTTTACAAGTGGGACATTTGCATTCGATTTGGTTTTACGTTTTATTTAAAAGTTAACAATGTCGTTGTACTTTTTAAATGTACCTTCATTTTAATGTACGTTATATGTACTGATTAATCTAAGAGGTTTAATGTGAGTTTTGAATGCGGTAAGCAAATCTTGTGCCTCGTGTATGCTATCAGCAACACTGTTAGATCACAACTTGCTTTACTGGTTACCTGCTCCCCTTCTCTACACTTTTCTGGTGAAGCAATCCCCAAATTGCAGCAATCCCCAAAATTCAGCAATCCCTAAAATGCATCAATCCCAAACTGCAGCAATCCCTAAAATTCAGCAATCCCTAAAATGCAGCAATCCCCAAATATCAGCAATCCCTAAAATGCATCAATCCCAAACTGCAGCAATTCCTTCACGCACTACTCCCTACAGAAACTGCTACATAAAGCCTCAGTGTATACAACCTACCGTCCCATAGATTTGTTCACTAAAACCAAATCACATTTGACTTTATTTCGAACAGCTGGTTTCAGTTGTAAACCTTAATCCAATTGATCGCTCACCGTTATAAGAAACATATATGTTGTTGAACTTGGCTTCAAGGTAGTTGTTTTGTTTTTCGATAGAGTTTATTTTTAGAACAGTTTCCATCGTCTGCTGTTGATTAGTCCAGCAGTTAAAAATTTTAATGAAACTTTTACAGAAATATGTGGTGGAATATTTGTTTCAATGTGGGGTCGAAATTTCAATCAAAGATTCCAACGTTTAATTAAGACTTGATTAAACCAACACAAATTGAATCAAATCAGTGACCTTAGCACACATACACATTTAGAATCAAGTCAGTGACCTTAGCACCAGAGGCGTAGCGACCCTTCCCGGCGCCCGGGGACAAACTTTCGAGTTGTACCCCCCCCCCCCCCATCAAACTTTCGATTATGTCACAATAACGATGTCATATAAAGCGGGTGTTAGGGTACTAATGGTAAACAGCTATAATAACTTGATAATGTCAAAGCTTACCTTTAACTAGCCACAACCCTAAATCAAGTCTAACCATTGCCTTATCTCATTAACCCTAGCCCAAAGTTTACAACTTTGATAACAATACTAACACTTCTAATTTTGGAGGTGTCCTCTAGTGTAGGACACTGAGTGGAGGACTTCTCCATGTCTCCTAAATGTGACTTTACTATGTATGTCCTGACGACATGATGACGCCAGACTGTATTGTTGACGTCAGACGTGCTGACGAGCTCATGACGTCACAAGTAACGATGACGTATTTTGTGCTCCACAGTTGTGAGTACGGTGCCCTGCGCGCCCCACAGATTCCCTTCCCGCCCCTCCCCGACCTCCCCGACATGTCGGAGACCAGCATCATCGTCACCACCAACGGCCCCAGCAACAACATGAGCCCCAGCCCCAACCACCTGCACCACCTGAACCACAGCATCGGCAGCGGCAGCCCCAACGGCACCATGCTCCAGCAGGATGGTAGCAACACCATCTCTACCATCCTCACCGTCCGGATGATTATGCAGGGGAAGGTGAGTCGTTTTTTTTTTTGTCGTCTGCTGGTTGGGCATGACGTCACACAGACAGACACAATGGCAGACACAATGGCAGACACAATGACAGACACAAAGGCAGACAAAATATCAGACACAATGGCAGACACAATGGCAGACACAAAGGCAGACAAAATATCAGACACAATGGCAGACACAATGGCAGACACAATGGCAGACACAATGTCAGACACAAAGGCAGACAAAATATCAGACACAATGGCAGACACAATGGCAGACACAATGGCAGACACAATGGCAGACACACAGACAGACACAATGGCAGACACAATGGCAGACACAATGACAGACACAATGGCAGACACAATGTCAGACACAATGTCAGACACAATGGCAGACAAAATATCAGACACAATGGCAGACACAAAGGCAGACAAAATGGCAGACAAAATGGCAGACACAAAGGCAGACAAAATGGCAGACACAAAGACAGACAAAATATCAGACACAAAGGCAGACAAAATATCAGACACAATGGCAGACACAATGGCAGTCACAATGGCAGACACAATGGCAGACACAATGGCAGACACAATGGCAGACACAATGGCAGACAAAATATCAGACACAATGGCAGACACAATGGCAGACACAATGGCAGACACAATGGCAGACACAATGGCAGACACAATGGCAGACACAATGGCAGACAAAATGGCAGACACAATGGCAGACACAATGGCAGAAACAATGGCAGACACAATATCAGACACAATAGCAGACACAATAGCAGACACAATGTCAGACACAATGGCAGACAAAATATCAGACACAATGGCAGACACAATGGCAGACACAATGGCAGACACAATGGCAGACACAATGGCAGACACAATGGCAGACACAATGGCAGACACAATGGCAGACACAATGGCAGACACAATGGCAGACACAATGACAGACACAATGGCAGACACAATGGCAGACACAATGACAGACACAATGGCAGACACAATGGCAGACACAATGGCAGAAACATTAACATAACAATGGCAATATATCAAACAGTATTAGACACGAAAGCACTACTTTATATCGGCGACTGAGTTCGATATTTTGAAATCTCCCATTTCATAAATGTACATCGATTGACCTAATAAACACAAAATCTGTTGTCCTTTCAATACATCGACCTAAACACACATTTCACAAGCCTCACTTTACACACACACACACACACACATTTCACAAACCTCACATTACACACACATTTCACAAACCTCACATTACAAACTACACTAATCCGCCATTATGTTTATATACTAGTAGTATTGAAACATTATAAGTATACATACATGACAATACTGCGACCAACACACTACAACATACAACTCTGCATACAGGTAACATAACCCACTATGCCGCTGTTATGTTGGTATAATACAACTTTTAGATTCTCCCTGCAACCAGGATTTCAAAATAGTGTCATATAAAAGGGGGTATCTATGGGCTTAGCCGTACCGTGACCACACGTTGCAATCAAACGAAAATAGCCAACTCAGGGTTGAACGGGTTCTAGAAGATGATGAATAATCATCGATATTTATACGCGAACATTCCTACAAGATCGTCCCTTTGAAGAAAAAAAATGTAATCCAGATTTTTTTAGGGCCGGGCAGTTCATCAAATTGTGTACAAAAATGGCAGACGGCATGTTTGGATGGATGCGCCCGCCCCCGGGCCGATAGATGGGTATCATGACGCGGCTATAACATCCCCGGCTCGTGTATGACTCCCTGACTCCGTGACTCCGCTAAGATCCTGACCTATTTGATGGCGCCATTACAAAGTGAACTATGTCGTAAACAGCAATTATAAATTGTTTCTCCCAAAGTTAATCAAAATATGTCTTTAAAATAAAACAGCTATATTTTAGAACTGTAATTTAAAAAACGCGCAGATCAACCGAATTTCTTGCTCAGGATTAGTAGAGATTCTTTTAAATAAAAAAAAAGGTCTGGTAATCTATTATCGATAACGTTTGCATCGTGAGTGTGAATGTATCAATTATGGTAGCTTAAAAGAGCTCAATGTAACACTATGACGTCATTACTGGCTGATTATAACAACACAAACACACACACATACACACGTCATTCAATTCACAGTAACCTAGTGTGCCAGCACCAAGTAGGGCCTACCGTTCCGACTCAACAACACATTTCCTTAATCATGCTCACCGCATACACAAATAACGGCCACACACACACATATGTATGCACACATCCCCCCCCCCTCCCCGGGGTTTGAACACAGCCGTTAGGCGATTAGCAGCCGGCATCAAAAACCGTCAAACAAAAACAAAAAACATAAAAGGGAATGCATGTTTGTCGCTGGCGTCCATTGATGTCCGCCATCTTGGATCGAATCACGACTGACCGCTGATTGGTTTCAATTATTTATCAGTTGGTCGGATTGGTCGGATTGGCAACGTCAGAGAACGGCCTGTTTTCACGCCCTTGTGGATCTTTTGTTGTGGTCGGATCGATGGCGGGTCGATAGCCTAATCTGCACTGGTTTACGCCGGCGCCCCTGGGGACCCGAATAATGCATGGCTGGGCACAAACACATTTGGCCGGGGGGGGGGGGGAGGGGGGGGGGCGATTAACGGCCGATGATGGGGAGGCCAAAGGAAGATGACCAATGTCAGTAGTATTACGCCTGTTGCTGTGAAAAGGTTTTTATTTTCTCTGGAAATTGATTTATGGGGTGTGTAGGGTTTGCGGCGGTGTGTATGCGTGCGTGTGTGTGTGTGGTGTGTGTGTGTGTGTGTGTGTGGAGGGGGGTGTAGCATTCAGCCTTAGTGGCAACGCCCATTTCCTACCGCTGCGGGGGGGGGGGGGGTAGATTTACGATTACACACGCAACCTGCAATACATACATTACATTTCTCTTGACGTCACACCCTGTAGCCGTCCATAATTTAAAACGATAGTGGCCGTCTATGTACTCAATATAATAGGCGATAATCGGTACTCTCATGGCCGTTCATTATTTCAAAATGTTTGGTTGTCCACTATCTCAAATATCTTGACCGTCCATTCTATTAAATGACTTTGCCGTCCATTATATTAATTGACTTGACCGTCCATTATATTAATTGACTTGACCGTCCATTATATTAATTGACTTGACCGTCCATTATATTAAATGACTTGACCGTCCATTATATTAAATGACGACCGTCCATTATATTAAATGACTTGACCGTCCATTATATTAATTGACTTGACCGTCCATTATATTAATTGACTTGACCGTCCATTATATTAATTGACTTGACCGTCCATTCTATTAAATGACTTGACCGTCCATTCTATTAAATGACTTGACCGTTCATTCTATTAAATGACTTGACCGTCCATTCTATTAAATGACTTGACCGTCCATTCTATTAAATGACTCAACCAGTCATTAATGTCACGACCGATTAAAAAATCCTTAAATTGGGCCTCCGTCCAATGACGAAATATTCCGGCCGTCAACGATCCTAACTGGCCGTCTAGCCGGCCGACCCCGCGACAGACGCCCATGTTGGCGACACCCTGGAGTTAATCAGAACAAACATCTCCCCCCGACCTGCGCCAACCTCGCATGTCGTCACGCTAGGCCGTGGCTATTTTTAGACAGCCGTCACGGTTCAGCGAGCGCCGCAGTCTATTCGCGCTTCCGGTCTACGGCCCTTCTTCCCAACTGCACGGCTTCCGGTCTACGGCCCTTCTTCCCAACTGTACGGCTTCCGGTCTACGGCCCTTCTTCCCAGCTGTACGGCTTCCGGTCTACGGCCCGTCTTCCCAGCTGCACGGCTGCACAGCTGCAGCTTCAAACGGCTTCACGTCAAAATCACCAGACAACACACGCAACAATCTCCATGTTGCTATGTTGAATATAGCCTCCATGTCCTGATTTTAATGACACGAGAAATTGATTAAATCAGCCGCGAAAACCAACCAGAAGTTTTTCATTTAGAATCCCCTTATTCCTTTGGTCTATACAATATTTGATAACACGCTATAACTATACAACTATATTATGTTAAGAAAGAAAAAGGCGAAATAAACATTGTATTGATCGTTAGCACATATTGTATGTTCAGTCTCCCTTGGCTTTAAATCATATGGTGTAGTTTTATCTACTCATACAAAGCACATATGTCTCTTATCCTGCCGAGGAAATTTTACCTCCTTTACCAACACAACACACCCTAATATTACCTCCCTTACTCATACAACACAAATATTACCTCCCTTACAAACACAACACACCCTAATATTACCTCCCTTACCCACACAACACATCCTAATATTACCTCCCTTACCCACACAACACACCCAAATATTACCTCCCTTACTCACACAACACACCCTAATATTACCTCCCTTACTCATACAACACAAATATTACCTCCCTTACTCACACAACACACCCAAATATTACCTCCCTTACTCACACAACACACCCAAATATTACCTCCCTTACCCACACAACACACCTAAATATTACCTCCCTTACTCACACAACACACCTAAATATTACCTCCCTTACTCACACAACACACCTAAATATTACCTCCCTTACAAACACAACACACCCAAATATTACCTCCCTACCTATACAACAAACCCAAATATTACCTCCCTTACCCACACAACACACCTAAATATTACCTCCCTTACTCACACAACACACCTAAATATTACCTCCCTTACTCACACAACACACCCAAATATTACCTCCCTCACTCGCTCAACACAAATATTGCCTCCCTTACCAACACACCACACCCAAATATTGCCTCCCTTACCAACACACCACACCCAAATATTGCCTCCCTTACCAACACAACACACCTAAATATTGCCTCCCTTACCAACACACCACACCCAAATATTGCCTCCCTTACCAACACACCACACCCAAATATTACCTCCCTTACTCACACAACACACCCAAATATT